ATAAATAATTTATTATTATATAGAGATTGAATACCTTTTGACATATTTACTGAAAAAAATAGTTGCCATCTATCAAAAAAAATGTATTATCCTAGCAGACCACTCGGTCTCACCAATCAGAAGGCTAAGAATGTCATCAGATAGTATCTGAGACCTACAGTAAAAAACTTGCTTTGCTGTGACCCACCTACTGAATGTATCTCCCAATGTATTTGAAAGTGTCTTGATTTATGACTTTTCTTTGTTCTGTTACTATAAAAATGTAAGGCAACTGTTACCACACATGGAATTTGGGGTAACCTGAATCTGTGTTCCCGGGCCATGGTCACTCATATTTGGCTCCAGAATAAACTATCAAGATCTTATCCCCTTTGAGGTAAAAATTATGCATTTGTACTCACAGCCCCATCCTGTCATTAGGACCAAGGCAGCTTGAATGTGATCATACAATTAACAGCCTCAGTCTCCTATCCAGTACCTGTGTAAGTCTTATCACATAGACTAAGTGATGTATGCCCCATAGCACAGGTCATATAAGAACAAGGCTTCCTCTTGGTATGCTTATTCATACATGCTTCTTCTTCTACCTAAGAAACCTTTAAGAGCAGAGGCCTCCTTTACATGGAGTAGCCTGAGATACTATCTCAGGCCTCTTTTACTGCCAGCTTTATTGGAAAAGGAGGGCAGAGACAAGAGGATTGCTGGGGATTGCTGGCTTCCAGCCTAGCCACAGAAACACAAACCCTAGGTTCAAGGAGAGCTCCTGCCTCAAAGGAACAAAGCAGAAATTGAGAGAAGGAGGAGGGCAGAGACAAGAGGATTGCTGGGGCTTGTTGGCTTCCAGCCTAGCCACAGAAACACAAACCCCAGGTTCAAGGAGAGCTCCTGCCTCAAAGGAACAAAGCAGAAATTGAGAGAAGAGGATTCCACAGACACGCAGGCACACATATACACACATGTACATACACTCACAGTCACATGCGCACACAAATGAATAAACAAATAAGTAAATAAATAAAATCTTAAGAAAGATACCAGAAAAAGAAAGTGGACTTAACATCCTCTCCTGTACTTACTTTACCCACAAAGGTTAACAAGGATTGATCTAACCTTTCTACTCCATCCTGTGGAAAGGGCTTTGAGTAATCTACTGTTGTGTTTCTTACCTCCACAGCTGGGAAGAGAACAGCTTTGTGTATGACCTGGTCAACATCTGTGTTCCTGGAAACCCAGTAGACATCTGGATAGGCCTTCATGATCACAGGCAGATGAGGAAGCCACAGCCACTGGGTCCCATGAAGAAGCTCCAACCAAGATTTCACTTTTGTCATGTTGCACCTAGCACATGGAGAGAAATCAGACACCAACATGGCACAGTTAACACAAAACAAATGCCGTGGGAGGGGCATGAGAGGAACATACAGTATGACTAAATCTGTGGTTTTGACTTGGATTCTCCAAAAAGTACACACCAAAATATGGTTAGATGTGCAACAGACTTTTTTTTCAGCAATCGCTGAACCTAGAACTTCATACATGGTAGGCAAGCACTCTACCCCTAAGCTAAATCCTTGGCTCTTTATTTTTTATTTTGAAGTAAAATCTCATTCAGTTGTCTAGGCTGGCCTTGAACTCATTCTCTATCCTGGGAAGATCTTGACCTTGCCTCCAAGTGTATGCCATCACACTTGGCTGCAAGAGAGACTCTTGCAAGGTAACATGTAAAACAAAGAAGAGATGAGAACATAAGGAGTCAGGGAAGGTGTTTAGACCATGGGGAGGGTATGAAGCCTGTGAAAGGTAAGACACAGGAAGAGCCTCTGGTCACAGCATAGTTCTGAGAAAGCCTTGGCTCGGATGATGGGGAATCTCCAACGAAAGAACACCTGTTTTAGAGATCCTTTTTTGGGCATGACTGGGCCAGAACCAGCTCCCATGCCATGCTGAATCACAACTGGAACTTAGCTGGGGGGAGTATGGTGTCTCTGGAGTGCAGTAGTGGGGTCTAATGGGCAGGAACACACCCTCAGCACAAACTCAGTGTTGGCTTCTGAAGGTGGCCTGGGCAGTGCACATCCACTGCTGCTATGGGTAAGAGGCATGTAGACGACCAGGAGCCAGCCAGAGGAAGAATATTCCAGTTAGAGGAACAGCTTGGACCAAGGTCCTGAGGTAGGAAAGTTAAAGAAAGTTTAACTTTTAAGAAAGTTAAAGACCAGTGTAAGGGGGCTGGTGAGATGGCTCAGCAGGTAAAGGCGCCTACTACAAAGACTGACGACCTGAATTCAATTCCCAAGACCCATGTGGTGGGAGGAAATACCTGACTCCCGCAAGTTATCCTCTGACTTCCACATGTGTGCCATGGTACATGCATACCCACATGCACACAAAATAAATAATGTAATGATTTTTTTTTAAGAAGCCCCATTGTCTGGATGCAGAGAGGAGCTGGAGGGGGTAGAATGATTTGTGGAGAACAAGGCTGAAAAGGGTGGGTTGGGCCAAATCTCATGCCTGATATTTCACAGCAGAACTCTGACTTAAAGATTTTGTCCCCAAGCTTTCCCCTGGAAATCAGTGCCGAGTCTCTGTTTTGCTCTTGCTTAGCCTCAGAGCACTGGCTCTGAGAGTTACAGCCCCTGTTTGTGTTCTGTCACTTGCTGGCTGGTAGGAGACCCTGGGCATTTTACAAACAGCTCTCACCCTCAGTTTACTGCCTATAAAATGGGGATAATACTAATAGTGCCTTGTAAGAAATAACTGAGTTAATGTATGTCAAACATTTAGCATGTGCTTAGAGTTTGTGATGGTTAGTGTCAATTGTCAGGTTGGCAGACTCTAGAATCACCTGGGAGAATGCCCCTCTGCACCTGTCTATGGGAGATCATCTTGACTGTGTTGAGGTCAGACGACCTGCCCACTGTGGGTGGCACCATTCCCTGACTGGGAACAGAGAAGGGGAGCTGAGCAGACATCCACCACTCTCTACTTCCTGGTTGGGAATGTGATGTGACCAGCTGCTTCAAGCTCATGCTGCTTTGACTTTACCACCATGGCACACTGTTCCTTTGAACTGTGGGGCAGAATAAACTCGTCCTTTAGTAACTTTTGTCAGGGAGTTTTATCACAGCAACGGAGGAGAGACTCAAACAGGGCACTGTAGGAGCTCACTAAGATGGTGGCAGTTGCCATTAAAGTGGCCTCAGTAACAACATGGCCTTACTCAACAAAAATACTTCTAAAACTCAATATAGCTTGTGTGGGAAGAATCTCCCCAGAAAGGCTGGGTGGAGTTCAGAGCTGGAGCATTTGCCTAGCATGTGTGAGGCCCTAGCTTCAGTCCTCAGTGCCTCAAACAAGCAAACCAAAAAATGTAGACAGAAGTTGTAATAGAGACTTGAGATACAGCTCAGTGAGAGCACTATGAAGCCCAGGGTTCCATCCCCAGAACCGTAGAAATAATAAATGATGGGACTGGAGAGATGGCTCAGCAGTTAAGAGCACTGGCTGCTCTTGCAGAGGACCCGGGTTCAGTTTCCAACACCCATATGGCAGCTAACAACCATTCTTAACTCCAGTTCCAGGGGATCCAACACCCTCTTCTGACCTCTGCAGGTGTTGTATGACATGGGTGCACTTACATACATACAGGCAATACATTCATATATATAAAATAAAAATAACAAATAAAATATTTTAAAATAATAATAAATGAATGAATAAACTTGGAATAAAAATGAAAAAATACTGTTTATAATAGCATTAAAATGAGATCAGGCTTCACGCCTGTCCCTTTACCTCTGTGCTCAGTGACCCCCTATAAAGGGAGGAACAGTGAAGAGTTATGTGTCTTTTGCCCTCACTGCAGTAATCACTGTGTGCCAGCAAGGTGTATAACTCACACTCTCGCTAGTTTTTACTGTATTTTAGAAAATTGCCCAGAAACTTTGAGGGTTTTTAAAAAATATTTTATTTATTATTTTTATTTTATGTGTATGAGTGTATTGCCTGCATGTATGTGAGTGCACCGTGTCATGCAGTGCTGCAGAGGTCAGAAGAGGGCTTCGGATTCCCCTGGAACTGGATTTTAGGACTTCGTAGCCACCATGTGGGTGCTGGGAATTGAACCTGGGTCCTCTGCAAGAGCAGTCAGTGCCCTTAACTGCTGAGCCATCTCTCCAGCCCCAACTTTGAAGTTTTTTAAAATTAAAATCATCTAGCAAAAAATAACATAAATCAATTAAATTAGTTATATCTACATTAAATCAGAATTTAAGGAACTTGTATTACCAGACTTAATAGCACTAACAAACAAGACATGGTGTTTTTTTATTTTTTTTTCCTTTTTCTTTCCAGGGCCAGGCTCTGAGATATCATGCATGCGCTTTGGATCCATTCAACCCTCAAAACTCTCTGAGACATTAGCTCTGCTGTCTTGGTATAGAAACTGAAGTTCAGGAAGATTGAGTAATGTGTCTAGTCACAGAGTGAGGACAGTGGAGAGGGAGGGAGTCTCAGTCTCCAGTCTCTCTCTCTCTCTCTCTCTCTCTCTCTCTCTCTCTCTCGTATTCCATTGTATAAAACGGGCTTCATAGTCACATAGGCTTTAAGAGGCACTTTCCTAAAGACCAGGATACTTGTGAATGGAGAGATGACTCCTGCACATTGCAAGGGTGTTGTTCTTTACACAGTTAATTTGCACATTTCTTTCAACACCAATCAAATTCTCAGCAGGACTTCTCTTGCAATTGGACAGAGTAGTTCCATAACCAGAAAGGAAAAACACAGACACTTAACTAGAAGGAAAAGCAAAGAGTAAGTCCTGCATAATGGTTAGGGTGTTGGGTACTGAAGTCAGATCGACCTGGATTTGAGTCCCAGCCCTAAAGAATCTGGATTGACTCCGTTGAGTCCTGATTTTCTGAGGAGGATGATGCCTGCTGTGCCAAGTGGTGAGGGTCAAATAAGTGCACAGGATGAGGGCTGAGCAAGTCTGTGGGTAGCAGTGGTAGAGCTGTGGTGCAGCATTGAAAGGGAGGGCTTTGGTGCACAGCGTAGCTATGGTGTCTTATAATGCCATTCCTACACTGGAGCTGGCTCCAATGCCTGGTCTTCCTCCTGCACCTCTGCATCTGAATGGATACTGGGAAGGGCAGTTTGAAAGGACCAATGGCTCCCCTTCTGACTACAGTTACTGGGGCAGGAGCCAGCCCGATGATGGCATCCACACAGACACTGAAGGGGATTATGTGCAGATGTGGTACCGGCCCCCCAGCAGTGGTTACTCTAGGACCTGGGCTTTCATAGAGGTGCTGGAGAGGCACCCTGGGGGATGGGGAGGCATTCTGGGAGATGGGTACATCATGGGGGATGGGGACACCATGAGGCTAGGGGAGCACCAAGAGGCAAGGGGAGGTAGCTTGGGGGATAGGAAGGCACCATGGGAATGTAGAGGCTAGGCATTTTTCAGCACTGTGGAGAATGATCAGATTTCCCGGGGGACACTATCCAGGGCTGACTTCTTAAATGTTTAAGGGTTCCTTGTTGACACTTAGGCTCTAATTAGATGAAAAGGCATTAGCGAACAAGAGTGGATAGGGGAGATTCCTTCAAGTTATTTGCTGTATACAACATGGCGTCTGCCCACCCCACCCTACCCCTTTTTTGAGACAGGGTCTCACTATGCCACCCTGGCTGATATGGAACTCACTATGTAGACCAGGCTGGCCTCTAACTCACAGAACTCTGTCTGCCTCTGCCTCCGAAGCTGGGATTAAAAGCAAGTGCCGCTGCACCAGGCCTTGCCCCTTTTTTAGAAAAATCTTTGCTCTGAGGATGGTCAGTGTGTAATCGGTCTCCTGGGTCAGCTTACCAGTGCACTAACGTGCAAGCCCCAGCCTAGGCTGTTGCTTCCAAATGTTAGACTGTAGCTTAGTTGTGGGAAGAATGGAGGTGTAGGTAGTGAAGAGGACAGACAGACCTGGGTTCCAGTTCCAGCTCTGTTGCTTTCTAACTACGTGTCCTTGCAGGGAGTTACTGTCTCTGAGATTCTGTTAACTCTCCTATAAAATGTGCTTAATGTTCACCCCTATGCACAAGGCTGCTGAGAGGGTTAAGGGAGACGATGAAGTGGGCAGTGACAACTGCACAGAAGCCAGGTGTCAGCCATCATCTAAACTGCAGTCCAGGGGGACTCCAGCCTTGTTAACTATGGAACCCAGGGTGAAATCGAGGTTCCAAGAAGTTGAGCCACTTCCTCAAGGTCACAGAGCAAGCAAGAAATGAAGCCAGTCTGAAACTTCTTCAGACCCCAGTCCAAGCATTTAATATGATTGCCTCTGCTTCCAGATTAGCAGTGGGAGATGTGGAATAGTGACATATTTTCAGGTCCACCTTGTCGCCCAGAAAACAGAGCTGGCCCAAGTCTTTAAGTGACATCTACTCTGACGAGAGCAGCGACAGCTCAAACCAGCTATGAGAGACTACGACCAGAGAGCAGCCTCCACCAGCATCAGCAAGAAAAGGTTCAGGGGAGGACTTCTATTCCAGTGCAGGGCCGCGGTGACTCTTAACTGCAGTGGGTAGATCTTCACCCAGACTCTCTGCTTCTTCCCTTCACAGCTCTCAGGTCTTGGAACGATAACTCCTGCAGCAGGAAGTTGCCCTTTGTCTGCAAGATTCTGGCTCTAGGTATTCGCTGATCCACAACTCTCCCACCTGAACTCAGCTCCTCTTGCCGCTGTGCCTAGGGACCAAATGTAAACTCACTGGTGGAAGTCTTCCAGGAAGATTTTCAACAAGCATATCCTAATTATTCATCGGTCACTCGGCCAAGGGACAGCAACCTAACTTCAACAGGTTCTGGAGTAGTACATTTATTGACCCAAGAGACAAAAGTCTAGGATCAAGTTGAACCATACTGTCCTGGTCAGGTCTCCAGCCCATGCTTGAAGTTGCCTTGACACAGGGCCCAACTGTGATGTGCATTGCTAGACAGAGTAGAGTGGGAGTTGACCCTCTGCATTGCTCAAGGTAATGAAAATAATGTTAGTCAAAGGGTGCGAGCGTTCGGTAATAGATAAATAGGCTCTGAAGGAACAATTTGGTGGCTATAGTGAGTAATTCCAAATTATATTCCTGAAGTTTACCAAGAGTAGAGCGTACGTGTTCCTGGCAAAAAGAAGGCCAATACGTGAGATAGTATGTTAACTAGCTTGATGGTGGACATTAGTTCACAATGTATATGTATGTAGGATACCACATGAACCTGGTGCGGTGATGCACACCTAAGCTCTAGGGGCTGAGGCTGGAGAACCAAGGTTCAAGACCAGCCTGGGCTACATAGCAAGATTGGGTCTTGGAAACAAATAGGCAAACAAACTATTACTACATATTTAGTGGTGGAACCATTTAGTGGTTCTAGGACCCCCTCCCCAAGTCCCTCATAAAACAGTGTAGTGTCAGCACAGAGCCTACAGTTCTTTTTGCTTCAAATCATCTCTAGATGACATCCAGCACCAGATGCAGCATAAATGCTGTAAAAGAAGTTGCTATTCTTGTTTGGGGAAGGATGGTGAGGAAAATAAGTGCATTTTGGTTTAATATTTGCTTTAATATTTTCAGTCTGCAGTTGATTGAATCTACAGAGGTAGAACCCAGAGATATGGAGGACTAAACACATATACAATACTTACTGAGTTTGCCTCAGTAGAATAATTTTACTAATGTGTGTGTGTGTGTGTGTGTGTGTGTTTATTCTGAACTGCATGGGTTCAAAGAAAGACAGCTAGTTCTCTAAAGAAAGCTGAAAATATGACCACACTCACACACTGCTGGTGAGACTATAAAGAAGTTTGCCACTTCCTTAAAAGGTTAAACAAAGCAGGGGGTTGGAGAAATGGCTCAGTGGTTAAGAGCACTGGCTACTCTTGCAAAGTACCCAGGTTTGGCTCCCAGTACCCACATGGTGGCTAACAACTCCAGTTCAAAGGGATCTGACACCCTCTTCTGACCTCCACGGGCATTATACAACACAGGTGCACTTACATACATACAGGCAATATACTCATGCACATAAAATAAAATTTAAAAAAAATTTTTTTTGGTCTTTTTGAGACAGGGTCTCCCTGTAGCCCTAGCTGGCCTGGATTTGCTATGGAGACCAGACCAGGCTGGCCTTGAACTCACAGAGATCCACCTGCCTCTGCCTCCCGAGTGCTGGGATTAAAGGCGTGCACCACCACGCCTGGCCAAAATAAAAATATTTTTAAAAATTAAACAAAGTGGTCTGGAGAGATAGCCCAGTTGCTAAAGTGGACCTGAGTTTGAGTCCTAGAACCCATGTAAAAAGGTAGGCATGGTGGTATTCACTTGCAGTCTTGGTGCTGAAAAGGCAGAGATAGGCAGATCCTTGGGGCTCCATAGCTGGCCAGCCCAGAGCCAGAGGAAGGGACAGGGATGGTGTGCAAAGCCAGCTTCCAAGTATGACATGGCTATGCTCTTACACACATAGCAACTGTGGTTGCCTGCACAAGATCTGCGCACGATCAGGCCTGTCAAAATTCTGTCGTGGAGAGGAGACTGACTGGACCCTGACCCTTCCTGAGGATGTATATGCAATTAATAGTTGCTGGGGAGGTAGACGTTTTCTTCAGTGGTGTAGCCACTTATAAAGTGCCCACATTCCTGTGAACAAGCCCTATCCATGCTCCTATAAACAACCCTGGTGAAACTCATTGAGTCACTAAAAATATTTTTTTAAGACATGGAAGTACAAAGGGGCTAGTTAGGAGGAGGAAGGGGCTCAGTGAGAGTAGAAAGGAAACTAGATTTATGATGGGATGTGCATATGATTGAAATGCTGTATGAAAATGTCATAATGAACCCTTATTATGTGCAATTATTATGTGCTAATAAAACACATTTAAGAAAATCAGGTGTTGTGGCACACACCTTTAATCCCAGCACTTGGGAGACAGAAATGGGTGGATCTCTGTGAATTCAAGCCAGCCTGGTTTACATAGTGAGTTCCAAACCAACCAGAGCTGCATAGTAAGAGAGATCGTCTCAATAAACAAAAAACAAACAAACAAACAAACAAACAAAACATTTAAGGGCCAGCGAGATGGCTCAGCAGGTAAAAGGCATGTGCTGCCAAGCCTGACCATCTGAGTTCAATCTCTGGGACCTACATGGTGAAAGGAACTGACTCCTGTGAGTTGTCCTCTGACCTCCACAGGTGTGCTGTGACTTGTACACACACAAACACTAATAAATGTAATAATTTTTAAACATTAAAAAGACCCACACACCTAATGATTTACTTCCCCCAACTAGGTCCCACCTTTTTAAGTTTCTGAACCCCCCCCCCAAATAGCACCACTAGCTGGGAACCAAGCCAACATACAACACATGAACCTGTGGGAAACATTCCATATTGAAACCATAACATAACCCATTCAAAGGAGCTAGAGCGAGGTGGAGAAGAAAGCCCCCGCTACACACACACTGAGGACACCTTGAGTACCCTGCTTTCCACTGGGGAGAGAAGGTGGAATACACAGATCAGTCTAACTCCAAAGCCTTAAGTAGGACTGGCCTGTCCTAATAACTGGATGTCACCAGGAAGGTGCACAACTGTCCTGAGACATCATCATAGGACAGAAATATGAGTTGGGTATAGGGGAAAGTGGTAACTCTTGGGGCTGGGGCGATGGCTCAGCAACTAACAGCACTGGCTGCTCTTCCAGAGGACCTGGGTTCAGTTCCCAGCACCCACATGATAGCTAACCTCATAACTTCGGTTCCAGGGAATCCGATGCCCTCTTCTGGCCTCTTTAGGCACTGCATGCACACTTACATATATGCAGGCAAAAACACTCTTATACATAAAATAAAAATAAATAATAAATAAATAAATAAATAAATAAATGGAAGTGATACCTCCTTTGAACAGCCTCTGTTCACAACCTGGGAATGGAGGCAGCACCATGCACACTGCTTGGGATCGTGTATATGGTTCTGTTCAGAGGAGTGACGTTTAATTAAAAACAGTGGCTACAGAGTCAGAAAAAAATGGATTCAGCCCTAAACTACTCCCCTGATTGTGGCACCTCAGATAAATCCCTTCCCTCTGAGAACCTGGGTCTGTGCAATGGGTAGAAAAGAACCATTTATAAACATCTAAAGCGATGTGGGGTGTGAAGGGCCTAACCTGTCATAGGACCTCGGCGTGTGAGAGCCATTATTGTTATTAATGTAGGGTTTTACTCTCCAGATTTCCTTGTCAGAAGAACAGGTTGCACTTAACAAATAGAAGCAGATTTGAAGAAGCAATTTCCTGTCCCAAAGATTAGCAAATTTTTTCTGTGAAGAGACAAACAGTAGATGTTTTAGACTCATGTAGACACTGCAGCTGTGAAACAGTGGGGGCAGCTACAGTTGCTGCAGATGTGGACCTATGTCTAAAATCTAACCTTCATAGCATTATCATGTGTCACAGAATATTATTCTTAGGCCCTTTCTTCCAACTATGTAAACTTTATTTTTTAAACTATTTTATTTATTATTTTTATTTTATGTGTATGAGTGTATTACCTGCATGTAGGTAAGTGTACCCGTGTTGTGCAATGCCCATGGAGGACAGAAGAGGCTGTCAGGTTCCCCTGGAACTGGAGTTATGGACAGTTGTTAGTTGCCATGTGGGTGCTGGGATTCAATCCTGGGTCTTCTGCAAGAACAGTCAGTGTTCTTAATCGCTGAGCCATCTCTCTAGCCCCTGTAAACTTTATTTTTAACTCTTACATTATGTAAAAGCAAATGGTGGGTCAGATTTGGCCACAATGTGCTGGCCCAATCTACTGGGCAGATGGTGAAGGAAGATGGGAGCAAAGATTGTATGGGAATAATACTCAGGGTCTCAGGGCTCCAAGCACAGCTCAGCCCCTTACTCAGTGTATTTTTGTTATTTTCCTGGTGCTGTGATAAAATACTCTGACAAAAGCAACTTGTTTTGGCTCACAGTCCATCTTGGTGGGGAGGTCACAGCAGCGGGAGCTTGAAGCAGCTGCTCACATTCCATCCACAGTCAGGAAGCAGAGAGAGATATATACTCATGCTCAGCTGGATTACTCCTTTTTATGCAGTCCAAGAACCAAGCCCAGAATATGATACTGCCCTCCTTTAGGATGGATATTCCCATCTCAATTTACCTAATCTAGATAATCCCAGATTAGCTTAGCTCAGAAATTAATCTAATCTAAATAATCCCTCACAGGTGTGCCTGGAGGCTCATCTTCTAGGTGAGTCCAGGTCCTGCCAAGTTGAAGTCACTTCTAACCATCATACAGTGGAAGGAACCTCATGTACCTTTGGCCCCCTCTGAATCAGTTTACTCATGGTGTCCTGTCTCAGGAATGTAGGTAATATGATGGTGATGGATATCATACTATGTGCCATAGATACAATTTATGTGGGTTCTGGGATCTGAACTCAGCCCCTAATGTTTACATGGCAGGCATTTTAATGACTAAGCCATCTCTCCAGCTCACATACTGTCAGCTTTTTATAGTGTTCTATTCCAGAACCCCCAAAGGCACAAAGTTCTCCAGTCATTGTCCTAAGCTTGTAGTCGCCTTGGGTTCCAAGAACAGCAGAGCCTCTTAGACCTATCATGCCCCCTCAAATGAGGACAATTTTCTAT